ATCCCTGATCTACGAAATGTAATCGCGTTTTCCCCTCTTCTCGTTCTTGCTGCGAATCTCAGGACGAGATTCTTTTTAAGGGTGTTGATTGTAACACCGGGTGTTACGATCTTATTTAGCACCACGCTTTAGGCCTAAGAAAATTTTTGAATCAAGTTTTCTCGGAATTTTTAATTTAAACGTACTTGAGACGATAAGTGAATCGTGTGTGACTTAGTTTCTTGAACTCAAATAAACGCTCAAGATAAATTATGCAGTGCGTAGAAATATTTAGAAATGTCCGATAACGATTCTAGCAAATCAATAGCGAATGGCGTATTTAATTGATTAAACACGAAAAATGGTTTTATAAACAAAATAAAATATAGTTTGTATTTAGTACTTAATAAATCACGAGCAAGTTTAATTAAGGAAAATGCAACTCTTGTTTTGGTAAGTAAAAGTTATTCAATAGTATGTATATATATATATATATATAATAGCTCAAAAATAAAGTTAGGATAAAAAAATAATAAAATAAAATATTAATCTTTGTACATGAATGGCATAACCGTGCGTCCGTTCTATTTGAACTAGCACAAACACTATTTTATTTGAACATCTACTATTTTATTTGAACTAGCACAACCACTACAGCAGAGCACGCAAGCAAGCAACCATCTCATCCTTGTGGTGTACGTCGTCAACGCAGCCGTCGCCTCACGTTGTTTCGCTCTGTGCAGCTCCAGCCCACGCCACTATCGGCAGTGTTGTCTCTGTTTGCCTGCCTCGCTGTCTTGTCTTTCTGTGTCTGTCTTGTTTTGCAAGCCAAGCTGCTACCACCGTTGCTTGCTTTTATTCTTTCCCTCGGCTTGCTACGCGCTGTACCGCACTGCCCCGCGTTGCCTCGCAGCGCCGAAGCCAAAGCCCGTCCGTCGTTGCTCCTCCGTGCCTTCCACCGTAGCAGCGCCTGCTCGCCCTTCCCCACTCCACCTTGTAGCCGCAGCGCCTCCATCGTCCTAGCGCCTCTCGTCGCAGTGGCCGCGCCCACCGGCGCCCGAGCCCCGCTACATCCCCTAGACCACTGCCATGCGTGAGCATGCCGCACCGCTGCCACCCGTGCATCCATCGCCGGCCTCGCCTTCTTCGCGTGCGCGCGAGTCCCTCGGCCGCGCTAGACCTGCAGCTTCCCCGCACCGGCCCTCCTCTTCCTTTCCCGTGCGAGAATCGCCCTCACCTCGCCGCACCGCCGCGCGGAGCACCACGTCGGGTGTCGACTCTCGGCCGCGCTGTGGCCCGCTGCTCCAGGCACCTTCGGCCGGTCCAGTAGTAGCCGTGTTGCCCTCCCGCGTCGGCCGTACCGCACCACCGCAGCACCTAACCACCCCCGCGCGCCTGGGCCGTGGAGCACCAGCACTCCGCTACCGCCGTCATTGCACTAGGTCGCCTCGCTGATGTCCGCGCGCGGCCCCGCATCGCCTCACGCATCTTCCCGCGGCACCGTCCTACCAGCCGCTGTGCCGCAGCCGCCGGTCGCCGTGCCGGTGCCTTGCCGCAGCGCTGCTCCTCCCCGCGTGACCGTGCGCGAACGCCGCTCTCCCGTGTGTCGTGCCCCCGCGCCGCAGTCGACGTGCCTCCCTACCGTGCACCTCCTCGCGCTCGTTGTCGCCCTACAACACCGGCTAGGCCACGCCCGCCGTCGCCTTGGCATGCGCCTGCGCCATGGCCGCCCTGCCAGCGTCGCCGCCGGCCGATTCCCGCTTCTGTGATGAGCTCTGTTTTTGGTGGATGACGTGAAGGTGAGAAATCCAAGAAATAGAAATACACAGGGTGTTTACTGCAAAATACATGACTCAATTGAATAGTGTCGAGGGATCTCGCGTCAAATAGATGTTAACGCAGGGGCATTTTTTGCAAAATGGGCCGCCTCAGCATCGCGTTGGGCCGGGTTCGCCACTTTGGGCCATCCGTGCCCTTTGCAGCATGTGAATGGGCCGCTTTCGTCTTTTGCATCATGTATTTGGGCCGACCGGGTTTGCTTGCGCCTGGGCCGACTGGTGCCTTCTGGGCCATGGGCCACTGTGTGGCTTCTTGCTAGGCGCTTCATGGCGTCGTGCATATGATGATGGGCGATTAGTGGTGCCCGCCTTTCCAGTGTTGAAATGTTTTTCAAAAATCGGTTTCTAAGTTTAACTTGTAAAATCGATATAAAATGGTATAGGAGTCCAAAAAAATTATGAAACTAGTTTTGTTAGTCTCATAAAATCATACTCTACCTGTTAGTATATTTTGTTCACAAAGTTTGGTAATATTTTTAGGAGCTATATAATTAATCTAAGATACTTAATATTGAAAAATATAAACTTGTAGAAATGATTCTGATAAATTGGCAATAGTGTTGAATCTAAAATTTGTATAGTAGGCTCCTAGCAATATTAGTTACTCACTGTAAATTTTGTAGCTCCGGAATAACTAGTGCTAATTAGATAATGATGGCTTATTGCGAATAAGGATTAAATTGATAGAATGAAATAAAGAAACACTTTGTGTTTATATAACTAAAATAATTGTTGGGAAATAGTGTCTTATCCGACAACGTGTATATGTAGCCTAAGTACGATCGTCGTTAGAACTAGCCCGTTAACTCAAGAGGCGTAAATCTAATTTTACAAGTCACGATTGCAGTCGATTAATTATGTCTTTGCATTTGCATCGCATTGCATCTCATATAGGTACGATGATGGATCAATGGATCAATTGACAGATGATTGGGATTCCGAAGATGGTGTAATGGTATTCTCTCCAGGAGATGATACAATGTGCTTTCTATGCAGATGATTGTGGATGATCTGAAAATACAGATACTAACTTTTTAATATATATCTTACCCAGGCAAGCCCCGGTGCATAACCCCTACTTTCTACAGTTTAAATTATATTTGTGCATTAAGTTTTAAGGAGTTGAGTGAAGCCCACTTGCATAAATATATCTTTATCCTATGAGTCTTACTAGTATGACAGGATCGTGTAGATTGCTATGCTACAGGTCTCCGGTAGAAGTCGAGTGATTGCCTGTCACTCGTGAGAGATAGGAAATATATTACTATACTATTATGACTTGGAAAACATAAATGGTGGAAAGAAAAATGGTGATCGGGCAGGGATATGGTTTGGGTATTGGTGGGTGTAAGAAGTTGTGCCGCCGTGGATGCGGGTCATAGCTTGGTTACACTGTTTTTCCCTGTCTGGTCAGTTAAGGACCGGTCGTTGCATAAGGCATCCAGGCAAGTCACAGACTTATTATCCTGAGCATATACTTGTGTATGGGTGCTTGGAAGACTTGTTGCTCTCTTGTCACGGATCCGGCTCTTTCCGTTCCGACTGTCAGGGTTTTATTTTGGTGGGGGAGGTCCTTGCACCGCACTGAGTCCGGGACTCAGGGGTGGGGGCTTGGAGTCCTAGTTTGGACGGGGACCTAGACACCCGGGACAGGAGAGTGATGGGTTGGTCCTGCTTGTACCTAGGGTACAGGCGGGACGTGTGTTTTCGGGGTACCCAGCTGGGGGCATTGATTCGCGAATCGCTGGGCGATCCGGTACGGCTTGTCTCGTGTTTAGCATCGTAGTAAGAACTGAAAGATGAAAGATGGAAAAGGAAATCTGATTGCTTACCACCTGCTTAAAAGTAGTACAGGTGCTTACATAGAATGGTTAGTTAATGAACCAATGCGGCTATTAATAAAAAAATCGAATATAAGGACACATGCTTAGTAATGTTTCCTACAAATACAACCCACAAGTCAAATAGCCTTGCATATCCTTGGAGTCTTTTTTTCTCCTGTCGGGTAAGTCTTGCTGAGTACAATTGAGTACTCAGGGTTTCATTCCCCCTGTTGTAGGTGACAGGTGGAGGCTAAAGCTGACATTTGTGTGTGGATTCCTCCTGGTGGGCTCAGAGAAGATTTCCTTTACGCTGCGATCGTAGTCTTTATTTATAACTCTCACCAAATGCTTTTATAAATAAAAGTTTCATAATTTGTTGTCGTAGTTTATATATCAATACTTCATCATGTCATGAATAGATATTTATTTCCGCTGTAATTCTGATCACATGTTTATATTCCGCTGTACATTAAATTGTTCATAACTCTAATAATATGATTACATTCCGCTGTTATAATAATAAATGTTATACTCTGATGTACATGTAAAGTGACGTAAGAAATGGTTAAGAATGATATAAGCTTTATTCTCTCATTTGTGATCCTGGTGGTGAAAATGTAGATTTTTGTGTTCTCCCCTGGGGTATACCCGACGGAACCAAGTAATTTAGTGTTCTCCTTTGTGTGCTTAGTGTCTAATGAAAGACAAGCACACCTGGGAGGCATTAGATTAGACGGTTCTGCCACACTCGGCCCGCCCCCAAATGCCGGCTCCTCTCCCGTTCTCTGCGCGCCTTGCCATAGCTCATATGGTGGAGGATTGAAGATGACAGGTGGGTCCCAGTGGTCAGTGTCTATTAATAGAATTTAGGGGCTTTGTTTTAGAGGCTTTTGTTGGAGTAAATACAAAATAGAGGGCCAACAAAAATGGGGAAACAGGCAAATCAGAAATGGGGCCCTGATTTGGGAGCTGGACACAGCTTCTATCTTAGTTAATACAATATAATAGTTGAAATTTTATGCTTACACGAAATTCCTATTGTTTGACCTTCTGACAAGACAGCTCAGCGACCATCTCCTAAAAATAATCCAACACTGCAAGCAGCAGCCCTCCACGAATATACATTTTACAAACCACTCCCTCCCATAGTCCAGCCCAGTCCTTCATCACATTTGGCACTTTTATTCAGCAATTGATTTGCGATTTCCCACCAAATGCTGCATCATGCATCACCCTTTTGGCCTTTGTATGTAGCAAAGACGACAATAAGTAGCAAGTAGCGGACACTGCAAATCTTGCACACGCAAACCTCAGCCAAGCAAGCCCTCCCTGTCCCGTCCCTGGTGTGACACTGATCTCGATGGTGTCCACCGAAGAGCAGCAGCAGCCGGTGGCCGTCGTGGAGGAGGCGTCGCCGGAGATCATCTTCCGGTCCAAACTCCCTGACATCGCCATCAACAACACCCTCCCGCTGCATCGCTACTGCTTCGAGCGCCAACCCGAGGTGGCCGACCGCCCCTGCCTCATCGACGGCGCGACGGGCGCCGTGCTCACCTACGCCGAGGTGGACCGCCTGACCCGGCGCCTGGCGGCGGCGCTCCGGCGCGCGCCGCTGGGGCTCGGGCGCGGCGCGGTGGTGATGAACCTCATGCTCAACTCGGCCGAGTTCGTGCTCTCCTTCTTCGCCGCGTCCCGCGTGGGCGCCGCGGTCACCACCGCCAACCCGATGTCCACGCCGCACGAGATCGCCAACCAGATCGCGGCCTCCGGCGCCACCGTCGTGTTCACGGAGTACATGGCCGTGGACAAGCTCCCCGTCAAGGCCGACGGCGGACTCACGGTCGTCCTCATCGACGCGCGCCGCGACGGGTGCCTCCACTTCTGGGACGACGTCATGGCCAGCGTCCCCGACGAAGAGGTCGACGATGACGACCAAGAAGAAGCAGAAGCGGCGGCGGGCTTCGACCCCGACGACGTGGTGGCGCTGCCCTACTCGTCCGGCACGACGGGGCTCCCCAAGGGCGTGATGCTGACGCACCGGAGCCTGAGCACCAGCGTGGCGCAGCAGGTGGACGGCGACAACCCCAACATCGGCTTCACCGCGGACGACGTAATCCTGTGCTCGCTGCCCATGTTCCACATCTACTCGCTCAACACCATCATGATGTGCGGCCTCCGCGTCGGCGCCGCCATCGTGGTCATGCGCCGCTTCGACCTCGCCAGGATGATGCAGCTCGTGGAGCGCCACCGGATCACCATCGCCCCGCTGGTGCCGCCCATCGTGGTCGCCGTGGCCAAAAGCGACGAGGCCGCGTCCCACGACCTGTCGTCCGTCAGGATGGTGCTCTCCGGCGCCGCGCCCATGGGGAAGGACATCGAGGACGCCTTCATGGCCAAGCTCCCCGGCGCCGTGCTCGGACAGGTACGTGCCGTGCCATGCCATGCCAGACCGCGCGCACCAAACGCCACCGGCCGTTTTTCTCCGTTTTCATGTTTGCTTGTCTCATTTGGGTTGTATTTTTTTTCTTTTATGTTTGCACTTTTGGATTTTGCGTCGTGTTTTATGTGCAGTTTCTTGATTTTTTGAGACTCCCTTTTCTTTTTCTGAATTCTGAGTGCCCATTTCTCCTGATTATGTTACTATGTGAATGTGGTGCGTTAGCGTTGGGGACCATGACGGGATTGGATGCTCCTTGAGTGGCTTAGATTGACCTTTTGATATTCGCGTAGGTCAACTCTCACATCATTCATTGGCACGTTTGGCTGATCCAATCCAACGACGCCCATGGAGAATTTCCTTCACAAGCATAGGATACCTTGACAACTCAATTGATTAATTCGGGCATGTGCTACACTATGATATGAATATGGTGGCTCCAGCTAATAGGATTCTAATACTAGCAGTTAGCTACGAAAAGCTTATATAGCTAATACAATAGCCTTTTGTTAACTTGGTTACTATTAACGGTCCTGTTTGGATGTTTTAACTAATGGTTATTAGCGGTATTTCATTATGGACTTAGGATAGCGAGTTAACAGATTAGCCAGATAGTTTGTTAGCACTCCCTCTATTCACAGAAGAATGTAATTCTCGCTTTTTGAGAAGTCAAATCGTTTAAATTTTGACTAAATTTATATAAAAAATACTAACATTTGTGATATAAAATAAGTACCATTGGATTAGCTCTAGCATATATTTTTATAATAAACTTATTTGAACACATAAATGCTAATATTATTTAATATAAACTCGATCAAATTTAATCTAGATTGATCGGCGCGGATTCCATAATTGCAGTTTTTTGGACGGAGGTAGTATGAGTTACTAGTTGGACTATCAGCTAAAGGGCATTGGATCCACTAGAGCTAATCATTACCAATTTGGATCCAAACACCCTGAACCTGAACCATGGATTTGATAGCTTTTTTTGTTTTGAAAAAAGGGGTATTTACCTATGAGTTTTAGCAATGAGATTTTAGAATGTTTTATATCCAATCTAGACAACATTTTGGGAAAACGTCAATTTGGGAAGATCACTTAATAAAATGGTCTTTAATGTTGTTTTTTACTTTGGAAACAAGTAAGCAATATTTTTCATATTCCTTTTTATATTATCCATACATATATAACAAAAAACAATCTATCTAATTTGTCCTAGTACTAAGATAACTCTTGCTGCGGAGTTGTTGAAAAGTTGGACTTCTGAGTGCTCAGTGCTGCTCCCTCACGGCCGGTACACGGTAGTTCTGACTTCTGAACTTCTGAGTGCTGCGGACTTTTGACTTGGTACACGGTAGTTCCATGGTTGGGTGCTGATGATGTTGAAGGTTATATTGGTAGGAGGTTGTTTGTTTATTGACTTCGATGTGCAACATCAACCTTGCATTTCATGTAAAGATTAAGATAAAAGGGTGGATAAAATGTCAACTTAATCAAATAAAGGAAGAATACTTGTGTTATTGATATCGTACTTTTGAAATGTAATCGGCATTGCAGCAACTCTTGATCAACAACCAATGTCTTGGCTTTGCTCAGGACGAGTAATGGGTAAGCTTAGGTGGGTTTTAGTTAGAGGATTGCGAATGGACGTCTAGCGGGTTGGTTAGTTGCCTCTAGTAGCACTCCTATTCACTCAAGATAAGGATAAAAAAATCAGCTATCTTTCTTACACGAGGGTTTTCTCGACCCAAGTGTGTAATATCCGGTGACTATCCTACCTTATAGATTGAGTTTTTTTTGTTAGCGGTTGCTGTATTTTTTTTTTCGGGGGGGGGGATCCCAAGGATTTTACAATAAATTAAATAGCTCGTCAATGACTTTCTCTAATAATAACTAGAATATTCTTCAACCAGTTTTTTGCAAAAGTGTAAAAAAAAACTGGCCATAGGGATTTCAGTGTGTCCAGTAGAGTAGAACCAAGTTGGTGATGGATCTGTTCTGTTATTCGACGATCACGTCCACAACACATGCACACAATGCAAAGTCAGATAACAGAACTAAGAATATACTATACTCGTACTAATCCGTTCGTATCGCCCTTCTGAATTTTATTCTGTCCCAAACCAAACTTTGGCATGCTCTGAAACTTCAATTCAATTCTACTCCGTATATGAAAGCACTCTAGTACAATCAGCTGCATTCATATGTATCTGTGTTGCCTCATCTGTCTGTGTGTGTCATGTCACGCAACGCAACGCAGGGGTACGGCATGACGGAGGCCGGGCCGGTGCTGTCCATGTGCCTGGCGTTCGCCAAGGAGCCCTTCAAGGTGAAGTCCGGCGCGTGTGGCACGGTGGTGCGCAACGCCGAGCTCAAGATCGTCGACCCGGACACCGGTAAGTCTCTCGGCCGGAACCTCCCCGGAGAGATCTGCATCAGGGGCCAGCAGATCATGAAAGGTACTAGTCTCTTCTCTCTTGAATTGCACGTCGTCGTCCTTCGTTCGTTCGTTCCAACCTCCAAATGTTGACTCCGGGCAGCTCCATCTCCATGCTTGCATTGGAGAATGGATGGATGGACTGCTGGCTGGCTGGCCCACACATCCCATCCATCCCTAGATCTAATCCGACTTACTATTCTACACCAAGCTGTAATATTGAACATAATCCAGTATTGTTCAGTAGTCGCGTTTCAGTATCGTTCAGTATTTTCGAGGTACTGAGTGTAGTACTGACTGAGACTGAACATGGTTTAGTACTATTCAGTATTTTTTTAAGTTAGTTTTGGCTTGTGATATAGAATATCCTATGGTGTAGAATAGCACTGCCGTGTGTGTATATATATATGCACAAGTGGTTCGCCGACTGCACATCATGTTGTTAGTGCTTCACATATCCTTAATCACTCCTCAACTTTGATTCATGAATAAAGTATCACAACATGATATATAAATAATGTGCAGCAAATTAATCTAGCTCGGTCAACGAGCGGTGATACTCTTCTGCACTGCACAAATGGTTCAGACAGACGGCATTGCGAGGAGTTTATTTGTCAGTTAGTCCCTTGCGACCGATGACGTTGTCCACCCACCCTTGGTGATTTGTTGTTGGTGCAGCGGTTGAGACTTGAGAGCTCTAGTAGGAGGGCTTTGTGCTGTGATCCTAATCTTCAAAGCAAAGCCGAGTTAGATGAACCGTTCCATTCCCATGTCATGTGTACCTTCCTGTCCAGATTGGCAACAGAAATAAATTAACATTAAATTAAATGGTCTTAGCTGAGAACTGACAGCTTCGATTCAGTCTGGCTATGGAAGTCTCCTTCAGCCCTTGGTGTGATAGCTGAATTCATGATGAATGGACTGTACTGAATACTCCTAGATCTGACCCCACCGAAGTGAAGTGGGGCATGCAGCAATGTTTGTTTTTGGTAGCTGCTTGCATGTCAATGGCGACAGCAGCTGTCGATTTTCAGTTAGGCCATTGTAAATTGTTATGTACAACTATTCGCGACAAGCACATGTTGAGTTGTTGACATATACACCTTCTGTCCCAAAAAAGATGTCGTTTTAGCTATGAATGACTCATTGTTTTTGGGACTGAGGGAGTATGGATCTATTACCAACTGATGACACGGACATAAAATGGAATATATAATTGATGGAAAGAAATGAAATGTAGTCACATGTATGATCTTTTTTTCATTATTTTTTATGATAATTGCTAATTGGTCGGAGTTCTCAGACACTGGGTGCTACCGTCATTCACCTAACGAAGTGATGTTACTGTGCAGCTGAATTTGTCAAGCTTTTAGTTTGGTTGCCATCCAGTATTATTATAGTCTATCCTTTTTTTGGATTTTGGTTAAGTTACTCTCTGTTCTTCAATAAACTACAGTATTATATGGACAATGCAACTTTGATGGTTAGAACTTATATTAATTATTACAAGACTTGATGTGCCGATGTGCTTTTGGTCAGGTTACCTGAACAACCCGGAGGCGACCAAGAATAGCATCGACGCCGACGGGTGGCTGCACACCGGCGACGTCGGCTTTGTGGACGACGACGACGAGATCTTCATCGTGGACAGGCTTAAGGAGATCATCAAGTACAAGGGCCTCCAGGTGGCCCCCGCAGAGCTAGAGGCCCTGCTCATCACCCACCCAAGCATCGCCGATGCCGCTGTCGTCGGGTATTAATCACTTGACCTCATCATCATCTGCTCTCAACCCTAGCTACTAGCTAGGTGGTTTGTGCAACAATGGATGCTCGGTACGTATTTCAGTCGTTGAGAGGCATGGTGCCTACGATCATTGCAGGAAACAAGTCGAGCCAGAAATCGGGGAAATCCCAGTCGCCTTTGTGGCCAAGGCCAAAGGGACCGAGCTCAGCGAAGATGACGTGAAACAATTTGTGGCCAAGGAGGTGATATTTATTTTCTTGATGCCTCCATTTGAGTTCATGCATGTTCTGATGATAAATGTGAACATTAGGAATGGAATAATAGAACTCAAGATAAAGAAAATGAATACATGCGTTTGTCCTCTCTTTTTTCCCCCCTTTTGACTGAGGGACCATCTGCTGCTCCAGGTGATCTACTACAAGAAGGTCCGTGAAGTGATGTTCGTGGACAAGATCCCCAAGGCTCCATCGGGCAAGATATTGCGCAAGGAGCTAAGGAAGCAGCTTCAGCAGCAGCAACAAGTGGTGTGATTGAAAAAAAACAGTCTGTGCATCGTTCTACCTTTTATGATTTGTTCGGATGTAGGCAAAGGGAGGAAGAGTTTTATCAGAGGCACAGTGAGTTTTATCTCTTGTGTAATGTATATGGATATTGGATTTGCGAAGGCACATCATATTGAGCTGACGTGTTTAGTGTTTCTGGTCTAGTTGGTGGTGGTGATGGTTCCTACCTCATAATGCTCATTATTTTTCCTCTCAGACGTAATTTTCATCATTGTAGATTAAAATCTAATACATTTTGTTATATTTTTCATTCTGTTATTCACAATAGCATATAGTGGCGAATTGAGTGTAGCTCAGTTGTTTAAATTTCTTATGGTGAAACCTACTCATCCAAGTTCAAATCCTTACTTATCTTAGCATGGGTGTTTGTCTTTTTTTTTAGATTTATTCTAGGATTTACATAGTGTCTGCTTCCACCAGGAGTAATGCAAATGGTAACTAAACCAGGTTACAAATGTAATTGAAAGTGGGGTCAATCATTGTGGTCTTTGTTTGGTTTCAGAATGTAACGGCATCAGATACAAAATTTGTACAGAATTACAATGATCTGACTATGCTCCGGAGAGTCTTTCAATCTGCCGGATTACCTATTGCGCTGTAAAGGACCATATCTATTGCACTGTAACTAGTTGCCGACAACCCCGAACCAAAAGTGTGTAACCGGATTGCTTACCCTCCATAATCATAAAATGCCAAACCAAACACTACCTTAATGGTGTTATTATTCATAGGATAGGGGTGAGGGCAAAGTCTGCGTTTGTTAAAGTTGTCAATAAATAACAGACAAATGTATCAGAAATTCAATAGGTGACCATGGCCTAATGGATAAGGTGTCTGACTTCTAATCAGGCGATTGTGGGTTCTTGAGTCCCACTGGGCGTGAATAATTTTTTTTTATTTTCCGTTTTTAAACGTACATCAACTCTGAACTTTTGTTGCGAAAAAAACGTCGCAAAACCTTTGGCAATACACCTATAAAATTACATACGGAACCAAAACTGAATACCAACAAGCTATCAAAAAACTGAGTACCAACAATGTAATGGGTCCAAACCATATATTAATTCACTGGTACATACAATCGGATCGACTGGAAACACAGCAAAGCATTCAGTAACTAGTTTATCATCCTACCATCGAGCTTAGGAACGGCACCCTCTGCACTAGAACAACTCTGACGTTTCAGATTCGATGATAATGAACACTGTATAGCATTTAAAAGGTTAACTGATGGCCTGAAACTTAAGTTGGCACAAGGCTGTTCCACTCCGAAAATCTGCTCTCATCAACTATATTCCCAGCCGGCTCAATTGAGCTCACAAAGCCTGCGGTGTACTTTGAGGAGTTGTCGAGTGCAGCTATCTTGGGGTGTGCATAGAAGCACATGAGGTATATCACGTTACCCAGGGGCCTAATGTAAATATCATCCTCTTTGCGGAGCTGTTGCACCAAGGAACTTGCGTAGAGTGAAGCGTACCTGCACAGGCAGCATGAAACTCATAGCATAGCGGTAAATAACAATCCAGCATTACTTAAATAAATTATCACAATTAAGCACAAAACTTGGCCCAAACTGGAACTGTAAGAACTTGTATTTCACCAAATTAAGCCACAGAATGCACCATGAGGAGAAGAAGCAAGAGTCAAATGAACTCCATGGGTACAGCAGAAAATACTGAGGTCTCCATCAGTACACAAACAAAGGAATGACCAGATCCATCATTATTTGCCGTGGTTCTAGAACAATTGGTCTTCATAAGTCTAAACTTTCGTGTGTCGTTTTAAGCTTCGTGTTTGCTTGTAAGAAATCAGTCGGTGTGTTTGGGTGCTGCAACACTGTAATAATGGCCTGATTCTACATTATGTAGATGAAGCCGGATATTAACTATGCTTTATCTTAAAAAAATATGAATCTGTTATATGTGGCATCGAGTACCAAATTAGGAAGAAGCAAGCTGCTAAGATGGAGGCTGCGGCTCAGAAACCAGTAGGGTCGGCCTATACAGAAGATCAGGTTTGACTTCCGTATCTGTTCTGTACTTCTGTTACTTGTCTTGTTTCGTATATGAGATGGACCATTAGGGAGACAGAATCTGGGTCAATCAATATTATAATGATACATAGCCCTCCGTATTCGAGAAAAAAAAAGCAATTTCAAATTACTATAGGTTCAGCTAATCAGCTATACTTTTCATATTGGGACCACAACATTGTGGTGTGCGATAGTAGGAGTACAGGACTGCAAAATTTAAATTCAAATGGACGTTGAAGACGCTCTGGACTACTGCATCTCCACCTGACCTGTTTACTCCATCCTACTGACCCTCCTCTGGTACATATGGGAGGTGCGTAACAGGTCTTCTGGTATGCAACGTTTGTGTGTCAGGTGAATAATCTCATTGCCTTGCAATGACCTAGACATCTGGTCTCATCAGTTTTGTATTCCTAAACAGAAGGGAGCTATCTGCTGTTGGAGATGGTTCTTGGTTGAATGCCGCTTTGAATCTATCGGGGGATGCCTCGGTGTGTGCTCCACGACTTACATAACCTCAAAAACGTAAAATCTGCTTACGCCTAAGAAAAGATTATGGAGTACTTTAAATAACCAGTTCTACCTACTCAAACAACATATTTCATTACCTCCGTGAGCTTCATGTGGTCAGTATCAAGGTTCGAATTGGTGGATGGATCCCGGTACCACTGCATAGCTTTTAGTGCTGCAGTACAGCCCATGGCATGAGCAGTGTAGGAATGGCCATGTAAGAGCGCCGTAAGCAGGACCAAAATAGAATCAGTGCTAAACTGTAATGACGCATTCATTGTGACACTTTTGACATAACATCTAAGATCATGCATTCATGCTTCAAGATGGTTGAGACCAATTATGCATTTATGCAAACACATTCAAGATGATTACCTTAGAGTCACTTTCGAAGGATTAAAAAACTTCCTCCGTTACTATGGTTGCAGCTAATGGTACAATTCCGCCAGTCATCAATTTTGCATAGCAGGCGATATCAGGTAAGCAACCAAGTAACTCTGAAGCAAACTGAAAGAGAAGTTACCAAGGTTACAACAACAACAACAACAACAACAACAACATAGCCTTTCAGTCCCAAATACAACAACAACAACAACAAGAACGCCAGAATCCTGTAAATACCTCATCAAATATGACAGGTATTTTTCGACTTCTACACTCACGGACAAGTACTCGCTGGAAAAGAGGATCTATCATGAGCATTCCACCTGCACCTTGTATTACTACACAAATATGGGCTAATGAGGTTGAAGCAGTAAATGGCATGGAAAAGTACTGAGATTTTGTCAGCTGTTAGTATGAAATGATAGTAGGCATACTAAAGGCTAAAGAGCAAAAGAATGGAAATATTCCAAAGATGCTCAAAGAGTGAAACTTTATTTACCTGGTTCTATAATTAGTGATGCAAGATGTTCAGAACTACTTGATAGAGAAAATTCTTATAGTTTCTGTTTTATATAGGACGAATACAAATCAGCAGCAAATGTTTTGTCCCTGATCTTGCAAAAGACTTTAGCTTGTGAAGAAAAGCCTGCTTTTTGAATCGAAGAACAAATTAAATAAACACCCATAAGGAATTAGATCCGATGTGTCAAACACAAGAAACAGACATGTATCACCATATGTCTGAGGATCATGCTGCATTGATTGAGGCAAAGAAATATTGTAGACCTCACTTTTAACATACATAGTTGGAGGATCTAGAAAAAGTCCCTGACCTCAATACGTACAAAAGAAACCTCATGTAATTGATCTCAGCTTTACTTACTGATATGATAGCCAACAGCAAGGTAGGAGGTTGTAAAAAAAAGGAGTGTGGCTGAGTCTTATTAAATTCTCAAGAAAAACTAGAAAAGAAAATCCTATTAGGCTATCAAAGAGAAGGCTGGTACCCAAAGACTTAACCTTAGATAGGAGTGCTTGGAAAACAGCTATTCACGTGCCTGAACCTTGATTGCTTATGCTGGGTTTCAACTCTAGCCTACCCCAACTTGTTTGGAACTTAAAGACTTTGTTGTTGTTGTTGTCGGCATAGAGAACCACTGAAGAAGAGTATAAACACCAAGACAATCAGCATAGTGAAGTGATAGAAAAGGGCACAATTCCAAAAGAGAACTGAAGAAGAGTAGAGAAGTCTAAAAACATTCAGTATAGTAACTACAGTGCTCAAATTCATTGTCATGGTTGCTGAAGAAAAGATGTATAAGTTGATGGAGCTTGAGGTTCCATAGCACCCAGAGTATCATCATGATAGGAACCATTTAGAGCAAGTACCTAGAGAGGAATCCGTAGTTAAGAAATATATTAGGATGCACAAAATGGGCATTTACAATTATTTATACAACATTTATATTAAGTTGTCCCAACAAATATGAAATATAATTAATGAGATAAACACAGGGTTATGGTGATCAACTGAGGTTGACAGTCGTGAAGAATAAACAAAAAACATCATTCTCTGACTGTGAACTGTTTAGTAGTTCAGTCAATAATTAAGTAAGACAAGGATGTTTAGCATGGCCGTCACATACCTTCAACTGAATGTTTCTTTCATTTCTTGCACTATTTTCACTGCCATCCATAATTCCATGATCAAGAGAAAATTTATGAAATGCCATCTTCAGAGCAATTTCAATCGCAGTGGATCCGTTGTCTGAATAATAGACTCGAGAAGCCCAACCTGAGAAAAAATGGGAAGTTGTGACATAAATAAGCCAGCACAAATATGATAGGCACATGTAAAGAAATAATGCTATCACCCACGTGGATAGAGTTGCAAGAAATAAATAAGAAAACAAAACCATAACACAATATTGAAATAAAGGAAGAAATAATCATATTGTACAAGGTTAAACTATTGATATGACCCATGAAAGCATGTCTCATTTCACATACACATCCTTATAATCGCCTCATTTCTTGAGGTAAACATAACAAATCATCAGGCACATAAGCTCTAGATATATCCATGAAAAGGAAGAGAATTTGGAAGGTGAGACATATTTCAAGCTCCAAGTCAATTTTCATATTAATATGGCATCAAATTCATTATAGAGTACCATAGAGTTTGAATTGAGCCAATGCTACAGTCAGTGGAAGAAAAGCTAAATTGACAAACCTTTACCAACTCCTCCAAGTAAAATTTCTGCAGAACGAAGAGCAGGCTCATGAATATTCTCTGGAAACATCACATGACCATATCTTGCAGCAGCATAACCCATGTCTCTTGCAAGTTCAATCTAATGAGTAAAGAGAAGTTTAGGGCTTTAGGCTACAAAAATTGCCTGTCAAAAGTTCCAGTATACAAGTTTAGACTACAAAAATTGCTTGTCAAAAGTTAAAATGCACAACTTTACCAATAAAAAGTGTAAAAGGGAGTTATTGTAGCAAAATAAATCACATATGCCGGAGATGTGAGGACAAAACCTGCAAGTTAGAATCAGGCCCTTGAGTCCACCAACTAGTGCATGCATCAAATTGAGGGACGAGCATTTTGTCTTTAATCTACATCAAAGATTTAACCACAACTTCATTACAAATTTCTTTTGAAGAAATAGTGAAGAGAGAAGAGTAGAACTAGAAAGTGGACAAACCTTGTACACAGAATAATTCTCACCACAACGTGAATCAATCACTGTAACCGAATCTTGAGGAACTAGATTGTGCCGAGTAAAAGGTCACCACAATAAATCCTTCGATTTTCTTTGCATGCTGTTTAACCTCTCTATTCTTCTGGAATGAAATGATTGCAGGGCATCTTTAAGAAAACTAAAAGCTGAGGATGACTCAGAAAACCAATCAGTCAGGTCATCTGAAGGATCTTTAGGAATTTGTGGCAAGGTAAGCACATGTACCCTAAACAACAAAATAAATAGAGTTTAAATCTATCATAAACAAAAGTAGAGCAGCAGAACTACTCATTTAATAAAATAATAGAATTAAACGGATGGTCATGAATAGAGACCTCTTAGCAACAAAGTTTCATATGCAGACAAAATGGATGAAATACCACCAAGACGGCCATCTCCAACAAGAATAGCAGGTAACCTAAAAGGGCTGTCAAGAGTTGAAACAAATCAATAATGGCCAGCTAAAAGATCATCTCAACAAAGAGACGTTTAAAATGTTCAAGGCTCCAGGCTAACAGTTAATATCAGAAGGTGATTTACGAGGTTAAAGCATTTTGAATTTTAATCCATCGTTTTACCTAGCCATGCAAAACTTAAACTGTAAAAGAAGAGAAAGAAATAAAGAGAATTATAAGCAGAACATCACAAGCTTTATTTGACGAATTCACAAGCTCAAAAACTACAATTCAGGGATCATTAATTGCCAATAGTAAACTAGCCAGATAATATCCAGAACCAGAAACTGGAGACGTCTGGAGTATGTAATTGTTTACTGAGCTGCGATAACATGGAATTGCTGCAGTGCAAAAACAATTGAACAGTCATTTGCTTATCCTCACCTAAAGACAAGTCAGAATATGTGGAAGCAAGAGAAGGCCAGATCATAGACACAAATAATTTTTATGTCCTTCAGGCGATCTCAGTGACTACATGGGGAGGGAAACAAAGAATGAGATATAGGGATTCCTGGCAGCGATTTTTAGGGAATCAAGTTGCATCATACGATTCAAGATGTTTGAATTTAGCTAAATTTTAGGCTTATTTGCATACAACTGTAGAATCTTGTACAGAGCGGGAGCTATCTGCACTCCCCCCCCTTTACAGCCTAGTAAACTTCAGAACAGTTGCTTGAATGTCTCAGACAGAGAGGTCTTAATAAAAAATGGTGTGAATGGATACAGGCATACAGCTGATCATGACCTCTGGGACCCTTAGCATCAAAATCAACAACATCCAGGGGGCTTATTTTAAAACTGGGAAGGAGTTAGACAAGGGGATCCCTTATCCCCCCTTTTATATAATATTGCTGCAGACACTTTAGCCAAGATGCCAAACCTCGCACAAAGCAAAAAGCTGATCAAAGGGTTAATCCCTGAATATATTAATAATGGGGTGCCTATTTTGCAATATGCTGATGACACCATTCTTTGCATTCAAGATGACAAAGAAAAAGCTGCTCATTTGAAGCTGCTCTTATACATGTAATGAAGCCGTGTCTGGGTTGAATATTAACTTTTCAAATAGTGATGTGATTCTGGTTAGCCAAGACATGAACAATATGGTTGACTTCTCTAATATGTTTAACTGTGCAATTAGTAAATGGGCTATCAAGTACCTTGGTGTCCCTGTCTCTGGAACCAGGTTACAAATTGTTGACTGCCTTCCAATTGAGGAAAAGATGGTAAAGAGGCTAGATGGACGGCAGGGGATCTCTCTAGTTTTTTTTTTGGGGGGGGGTGGTGATTCTTATTAGCTCCAGCCTAAGCAGCATGACTTTGTATGCCATGTCTATGTATCTCCTACCCATCTCTACCATAAAAAAGATGGACACTACTATAAAAAGTTTTTTTTGGCAAGGGGGAAGGCTGAAAAAGAATATCACCTAGTCAAATGGGTAAAGGGCAGACCCAGTGCTCGGAGGCTCCCACATGAGTGGGGTCTGGGGAAGGGAAAAACCGAGGCAAGCCTCCCACCCGCAAAATCTGCGGAGACGCTGCTTCGAACCCGTGACCTGGTGACTCAGTGAGACAGCTCTCACCATTGCACCAGGCCTGCCCTTCTACCTAGTCAAATGGGTAAAGATAATGAATCCCAAAGAAAAGGGAGGATTGGGCACCAAAGATCTGAGAAAAATGAACATTAGTTTGCTTTGTAAATGGTGGCAGAAGGTGGAAAATGGTAGCGGTATTTGGCATGATATTGTTCAAAGGAAATACATGAAATCTGGTAGTATTTCCCAGCTGAAAAAAAGCAATAACAATTCTCCTGTGTGGAATGATTTGCTTAAAGTAAGACATATCTACTTAAGAGGGAGAATCATGCTTGTGGGTAATAGGGAAAACACAAGCTTCTAGCACGATAAGTGGTGTGGGAAGGTGTCCCTTAAAGACTAGTTTCCAAGGTTATATGAGATCAATGAAGAGCAATCTTGCTCAGTTTCAACTATAAAAATGAGAAATTGGCGGCTAACTTTTAGGAGATGGCTTTCGGAGGATCCGCAGGACCATTTTAGGAGATTGCATGGCATCCTATGTAGATGCAATGTGAATAATGAGAAGGATAAGACAGAATGAGATTGGGAAAAATCTAGAACTTTCTCTGTTAAATCACTGTATAAACATTTATGTCGAAACAATCGGGGACAAAACTTTAAACATATTTGGCAAGCCAAAATCTTTATGTGGCTTCTGCTTCAAAACGCTATCCTTACTAAGGATAACCTCACAAAAACAAATAGGAAAGGACGTCAAATCTGTGCCTCCGAACATCTCTTTTTTGGATGCACGACGGCGAAATACATTTGGAGTCTGATTGCGTGTGCCCTTGGAGTCAGTTGCAGACCTTGTAATATTGATCAGTTTTGGGTGTTAGAGTATTTATTTCCTACCTGTACATGCCGCCTCCTCCAGGCTGGCCTGGCCCTTTGGGTTACCCTGTATCCTCTATTTATATGTAACCCTCTTGTAATCTCATCATTAAGTGAATCTAAGCCTGTTGGCATTCCTCTATCATGGTATTAGACTAATCACGTCTTGGGCCTTTCACCTCCCGCCCACCCCTCTGCTTTCCCCCCCGTCCCCTCAGCCGCCGCGCCTCGCCTTGACGGCTGCAGCACCGATGGCCCCCGTGGCCCCTTCGGCTGCCGCGCCCCACTCTGGCGGCTCAACCTCCGGTGCCTCGTCAGCTTCCACCGCGACTTAGCTTCGCGACGAAGCCCTCGCCGCCACCAAGACACTAGAAGAGGAGGCCGTCTCCTTGCGCATCACCAACTCCGAGCGCAGTCAGCAACTCCAGGAGGAGGCTGACCTTCTCAAGTCAGCCGCCGCTGCCCAGGAATGCGTTCGTGCCACCGCTGCTGCTCTTGACCAAGAGCGCGTGCAGGCTGACGTCCTGGAACAGCAGGCCGCTGCCCTCCATGAGCGTCTTCGCACGGAATCCCTCTGGGACGACGACACCCTGGACGGCGACGATGGCCGCTCTGAAGCTGCGGCCATTGCTCATCTGCACAGCTAGGCCGCCGCTGTCCAGAACATCAAGAACTTGATCCCCATCGTTCTTGATCTGCAGTCTTCCAACTACTCCAAGTGGCGCAGCTACGTCCTTCTCATCCTCGACCGATTCACTCTGAAGGACCACGTCCTCAGTGATGATTCCCGCTTCGCCGACCCGACATGGTCGCGCATGGACTGTGTGGTCGTCTCCTGGCTCTTCAACACCATCTCCTCTGACCTCCTGGACGTCATCCACGAGCGTGACGGCATCACTGCTCGGGTGGCCTGGCTAGGGATCAAACAACAGTTCCTGAACAATCGTGAGTCCCGCGCCATGCTTCTCGACATCGAGTTTCGCACCCTCTCCTAGGGCACCCTCTCCATCGATGATTACTGCCGCAAGATGAAGAGTATGGCTGATGCACTTGCCGATCTTGGTGAGCCCATCAACGACCGTACTCTTGTGCTGAATGTTTTGCGTGGCCTCAACGAGTGCTTCCAGTTCATGTCACAGCTCGTCACCCGTCAGTGGCCGTTCCCTTCATTTGCTGATGTCAGCACCGACCTATGCCTGGGCGAGCTCAACATGGCGCCTCCCTCGGCGCCTCCCTCGGCTCTCATCGCCTCTTCGTCTAGCAAGCCGCCTGCCTCCTCATCGACACCTGGGCCTGCATCCCCGCGCCCTCCACAGGCCACCGGGGGGTGTCATCTGGCAACAGTCATGGCCGGTGTCGTCGCGGCGGCCGTGGCCAAGGCGGTTCACACAGTGGCTCGCTAGGCGGATCGTAGTGGCCTTGCCTCCTCAACCCATGGACTGGGTCCATCCATATGTGGCCCGGGTCCGCCCCCAGCGGTCCTCGTGGTCCACCGCCTCGCATCGGCCCACCTTCGTCTCCGCAGCAAGCTCTGATGACAGGCATGCCTCTTTCTAGAGCATACTGTCCTCCGGCTCCTGCAGCGTACTACCAGGCGCTCACCCAGACGTCCCCTTCGGCATGGTCACCATGGGATCCCCAGTCCCTCGCCAACACCTTCAGCACCCTCACCCTCACCCCGCCACCAAGTTCCTCGGACTGGGTTGTCGACTCGGGCGCCACTTCT